CTTTTTTAAAAATTCATGATAGAACATGTGAGTGTGCATAACAAGAAAAGAAAGAGAGATAGAGGGAGAGAGAGACAGAAAGAGATGCATCTTTCATGGGACTCAGTCACACTGCAATCCCCTATGTCCAGTCCTCTAGCCTTCTAGGATCCTGGGTACACACAAACACATGTGTGGCATGTTTCAGGCTGACTGGACCAAGGACTCAAACTGTGGTTGAATGCAGCTTCTTAACTCTTCTCAACTCTGCAGTCTCTATTACCTACTGTGCCACAGAGGCTGGTCCTCAGTGTTTTTTTTGCCATTGAAATTTACCTGAGTTTCATTAAGCCTTTATGGGAAATATTGGGGATAGAGAGGTCAGTGAAATGACTTTCTAACCAGGCAAGGCCAAAATGTGGAACTTTCTACAGAGCAACCTTTATGTTTGTTGTACAACCTTTGTTTTTTGTACAAGTATGATGGTGTGGTGGTTGGGGTACTGGACTTCCACATGGTTGACCGCAGTTCTAGTCCTAGACCTGGTGATTTGAAACTTATGCTGAGCACGTGTGCATGTGTGCCCAAAATACTGAGAGAAGAACGGAGAAGAAGGGATGGTGGCGTGACCAGCTCCCTGGGGGTGACCTCACATTCTGTCTCTGTTTCTCCAGTGAGTACACATTGCCAGAGCAAAAATCTCTCTCTCAATTAAAAAAATGGAGGAGGGGGCAGCAATTAGCATGGTAGTTAGAGTACTGGACTCCCCCATGGCTGACTGTGGTTCAAGTCTTATACCTTGCTTTCATGCTTTCCCTCCCTCTTTCTGTGTCTCTCTATGGTCAAATTAATAATAATAATAAAAATAATTCTTTAAAACAACAATGCATCAATGGTATGAAGATAAGTGAGACAGGACTATTTCAGACTTAAAGACATGACAATCAAGTGTAACTTATGAACTTTTGGATACTGATTAGACAAAACCAGCTCCAGAAAACTTTTGAGGCCATGGGGGAATTTGGTATTAAACTGAGTATGAGATGGAACAGGAATGAATTTGGCTAGTGGTAACTAAGGTATTGTGGTTGTGTCTGGTATCTCTTTCGTCCTGTATCACGTTCTCTCGGCTGTTGCTGGTGTACCTAGGGTTGAAAAGGTAAAACCGAAGAATATGTCCCCTCCACTGCATATTGACCTCTCTTTCTGGTCTGGGTGTCTATTTCTCACTGTGAGTTGCATGTAGGGACCTTTCAGCCATTCTGTCTCATTCTGAAACACCCCATTGCAAATTGGAATTTAAGCGTTCATGCCCTATAGGGTCATCCCTGACACTGGGTATTGGGAACCAGTGGGTAAATGCTTCTCATTGTGAACAAGATGCATGCATTCTGCAGATCCTCAGAGGGACCTTCACAGAATACAGTTCTCTGTGCCCATAGGGCTGATGGTCTGATAATGCATCCTGGGCTGGCTTTCCTCCTTGCTGTTCCCACATTCCCTGGAATCATTTCACAAAGTAACGACTTGTGTGCAAACCTGTTTCAGGCTCTCCTTTTTGGAGGAACTCAGACTGAGACAAGGTCATGAAAGAAACTGACCTTTTTAAAGACATGCATATTAAAGTATGTAGACATGAAATGACAGGATTCCTGGGCTTTAAGTTTCTTACCAACATAAAAGAAAAAAGAGATGGAAAGATGAAGTATATGTGGAAAACATGATGATTGTTGACTCAGAGTATTGAGTATATAGGAGAATATTTTTAAGTTTATTATAATAAAAAGTTTAGAAGTTTGAAATTATTGTAGTCTACAAAGCAGAGCAACAGAGTGTGTGCATGAGAACCTAGTCTCGAACGGAGATTAAAAAAGACTTTAAGGAGCCAGCAGGTGGTTTGGCGGTTGAGGCACTGGAATTTCACATGGCAAACTATGGTTTGAGTTCCAAACCTGGAAGCTTGCTTCCTGACATTTCCCCTCTCTCTGGTGAGTGCAAATGCCGTATAACAAACTAAATAATCATAGCAATAATAATAAACAAATAATAACTAATGCTCCTTTAAAAAGTAATTGTTTATTTATTTACTTTTATTTGTCATCATTATTTATTTTTAATTTGACCAGAGACAGAGAAAAGGAAAGAAAGAAAGAAAGTTGCTAGGTTTGGAACCTGAACCACAGCTGGCCATGTGTGAGTCCAGCACCCTAACCACTATGCCACCTCCAGCCCCAATAGATAAATAATTCTTAAAAACAACAACAAAAACTGATTTAAAAAGACTAAAATGGTGTGTAACCTGTGACCTGAAGGATAAAACTGGATTTTTCAGATTCTGTCTCCTAAGGCACTTAGGATACCTGGAGTATCCCACACTTCCAGGATCACTTCTGAATCCTTGCTTAGAACACTGGATTCTAAGGCTGCCATTCATCTTTGGCAAGAGCTGCCTCTCTTTTGAGCACTGCCTGCTTCGAAATGGCTCATTTCCCCTGTGTAGAATCTCTGCTCTGGGTGGTAAATCATTTTGTGTGTAATACAAGCATTTACCTGTAGACATTTACTATATCTCCAAGGGACTTTTCAAAACTGACAGTTTCTTTTCTTTGCGGTGAATAGTGGAGAGAAAATAGGAGGGCTATTTTAGGGTAGTCCAAACTTGAAATGAACTGCCTGGTAAACTTGACTGAATAAACTACTTTCTTTGGCTATTTGTGACATCGGAATGCTTAGATCTACTGGATGCCAACCGATTCAAGCCAGATCTTCTGTGCTGTCATTCTGTGAGTGAAGCTGTCGGAAGACACATTTCCCCTGCTAGAGCACACTCATCCTCCACGGTCAACAGACAAAGAAGCCGTGCCACTCACTGGATTAGGAGAATGCTTCTTGCCCATAATTGCAGTAAATAACCAGTCAAGTCATTCTTTTTAATTTGTTTTGCTTTGTAATGCCCTGTATACAGCAGTTTCCCCACTGATACTGACACTTAATTCCCAAGGCTTACTGATATGGACCATTACTATCGCATGGTATTACCTTGCACGGTTAACTTGCTTCATATTATCACAAAGTGCTTTCATCATCTTCACAGCAACTGTGATGTCTTCTTTCTTCCTTTCCTTCTATGTCTTCTCCTTTTCTTTCTTCATTCTTCTCTCCTTCCCATCCTTCTTTTTCTTTTCTTAAGAATTTTATTTATTTATTTATTTATTCATTTATTTTAATTTGACCAGAGAGGGACAGAGCGAGGAAAGTGAGAAAGCAAGCCACCAGATCCAGGACTCGAACCACGGTTGGCCATGTGGGAGTCCAGAACCCTTATGCCACCTGCTGGTCCCGATATCCTTCCTTGTTGTCTTTTACCTTTCTCTCCCTTTTTCTTTCCTTCCATTCAAACATTTCTTATTCCTTCTCTCCTTCCTTTACTAGAGTTCTCAAATGTAACTTTTTTTTTTTTTTGAGAGGTTTTTGCTATAGTGTGCATACGCTCGCCAGAAAGACAAAGAAAGACAGAGAGACAGAAAGCGAGAGATCCCCCCGCCCCCAGGAGGGATGGCTGTGCCTCAATCCCTTTTCCTCCTTTCTCTCCTTGGGATCTTGGGCACGCATGCACATGTGCCTGGCATGAGTTTAAGCCACCGGGTCCAGAACTCAAACCATGGTCGACTACATGGAAGTCCAGCAACATAGCCATTATGCTAACTGCTGGTTCCTCAAATGTTACATTTTTTAAGATCAACTTAGTTTGATAGCTTGAGTTCAAATAATCTTTTGTTCAATCTTTTTTTTTTTTTTTTTTGTCTATGTGGAACATGTCCTTGCCAGAAACAGATGGAGGGGGGTAGTGAGAAATCACTCCCCTCAGGGAGGATAGCCATGCCACAGTCCCTTCTCTTCCATCCTCTTTTTGGGATTTTAGGCATACACATACACACTGGATATGACTTTCAAGCTGCTAGGTCCAGGACTTAAACTGCATAGCTGGCCATGTGGGATCCAACTACTTTAACCTCCATCCTACCTGCTGGCTTCACTTTCTTTTTTTTTTTTAATTTTTCAGAGGGTGCATGAGCTTGTGAGAGAAAGAGGCAGAGAGGAAGAGCCTCCCCACCCTGTAGTGCATGGTCAAACTGCAACCCCTTCTCCTGAATTTCTCTCTCCTTCTGGGATTTTGGGTGTAGACATATATACTGCTGTGTTTTTCAAGCTGTCAGGTCTAGGACTTGAACTCTGCAATCAGCTCTGTGGACTCCAACTGCCTTAAACACCAAGCCACAGGTTAGCTCCATTGTCAATCTTTGTGACATTAGGTAAGTAACTTGAGCTTTAAGCCTAAATTTGCCTATTCATAAAATGGGGATGACAGTAGTGCACTTGATTAATAGCAAAAGGAGGGAAGTGCTTATCTATTTACTGGGTTCTGGCAGCCATCTCTGGCAGCCATCAAAACTCTTTTCTGTTGTTTACTATTCTGTCATTACTATTACTTATTACACCTTTTAGATACAACAACGAATATGATCAGTGGGATTCCCATTGCCATGGAGTTTATAGGAAACTTGGGCCTGCAAGTAGTGAGTGGAAGAGACAGGGTTTCTTATTAGATCTGTTTGTTTTCAAGGTTAGGGCCTTCTCCACTGCCTTTTTAAAAAATGTTTTGGACAAAATCAACAATCAGGATTCTTCTTCTTCTTCTTTTTTTTTTTTTTAGTTGGAGGGAGAGAGTGAGAAGGAAGTGAGAAATCATGGCCACACTGCAATCCTTCTCCATTTTCCTCCTGGGATTTGGACATGCATGCACATGTTGCTGGCATGATTTTCAAGCCACCAGGTCTAGGACTTGAGCCATGGTTGGCCATGTGGTAATGTAGCACCTTAACCACCACACCACCTGATGGTGCCTTTTTGTTTTTAGGAAA